ACATTCCTTGAGCTCTTTCAGTAATTATTTCCAGAAGGAAGCTTTCACAGTTCTTAAAAAATGCTAAACCAGTAAAAGAAGATCCTTTAATCGCTATCAAAACGCGTTTTTCTGATAATGCGGTTGCGTTTCCCGATGAAATCCGCGGTTTTAGCGTTTGTCGTCGTTTTACTGTTTCTTTCTGAGTTCGCCGCCGGAATAAGGATGATTCCGGTGAGGATCTCCGCCGTTTCCGCCACCGTCGGCAACGGATTTGATCTCGGACAGTTCGTGGAAGCTCCGGAGTACAGAAACGGCAAGGAGTGTGTGTCTAGAGAGAATTTCGTGTCGTCTTGCGACGCTTCGTTAGTTCACGTCGCTATGACGCTTGACTCAGAGTACCTACGTGGCTCAATCGCAGCCGTACACTCGATGCTACGACACGCGTCGTGTCCAGAGAACGTTTTCTTCCATCTCATCGCTGCCGAGTTTGACCCGGCGAGTCCACGCGTACTGAGTCAACTCGTTAGGTCGACTTTCCCGTCGTTAAACTTCAAAGTCTACATTTTCCGGGAAGACACCGTCATAAACCTCATATCTTCGTCGATCCGACAAGCCCTCGAGAACCCATTGAACTACGCTCGAAACTACCTCGGAGATATCCTCGATCGTTGCGTAGACCGAGTCATATATCTCGACTCGGACATAATCATCGTCGACGATATAACCAAGCTTTGGAACACGACTTTAACTGGGTCAAGAATCATCGGAGCTCCGGAGTATTGTCACGCTAACTTCACCAAATACTTCACCTCGAATTTCTGGTCCGACCCGGATTTACCTGGATCCTTCTCGGGTCGAAAGCCTTGCTATTTCAACACGGGAGTGATGGTGATGGATCTTGTTAAGTGGAGAGAAGGGAATTACAGAGAAAAGATCGAAACTTGGATGCAATTACAGAAGAAACGAAGAATCTACGATCTTGGTTCGTTACCACCGTTTCTTCTTGTATTCGCAGGGAATGTTGAAGCAATTGATCATAGGTGGAACCAGCATGGTTTAGGAGGAGACAATGTACGAGGAAGTTGTAGGTCTTTGCATAAAGGACCAGTGAGTTTGTTGCATTGGAGTGGGAAAGGAAAGCCATGGGTAAGGCTTGATGAGAAGAGACCTTGTCCTTTGGATCATTTATGGGAACCTTATGATTTGTATGAAAATAAGATTGAGAGAGCTAAAGATCAGTCTTTGCTTGGTTTCTCTTCTTTGTCGGAGTTAACAGAAGATTCAAGCTTTTTGTGAGACAGTAGTGTGTGTAAGTCAAACATTCTTTTATTTGTTTTTGTAGTTTGTTTGTTATCACAAAATACATTGTTGAGAAAGAAAAAAAAAGTTTTGATTGCTTGTTGTGTATAAATTGATTAGTGACAGATGAGTTTGTGGAAGCCATTTATAAGGACTAGTTAGGTGGATTCCTTTTGGGATGTAATGCTGATTTCAAATTCGTTTTGTAAGATCTTTGCATAAGAAATCTCAATTTTCTCTATTGAGATTCTTTTTTGAGATATATAGCAAATTAGCAAGTGTTGTTGTTAGCATGAAAAAAACTCAAATGTGTTTAAAAAGTGTCTCTTTAGATTTGGATGTGTATAGAATGGTTACATGCAATGGTAAAAGAAAAGATTTTGATTTTTGCATTGAAATGAAAATGATGAAGCGAAGTGAAATAAATGAAGAAGACGCGCTACGTTATTTGAATGTGTGGTGTATACACATTCAAATCTAAAGTAACACTTTTTTTTAACACAAATGAGTTTGTTTCATGCTAACAACAACACTTGCTTATTTGCTATATATTTGAATAAAGTATCTCAATAGAAAAAAATTGAGATTTCTTTTTTTTTTTGGTCAAAAAAATTGAGATTTCTTATGCAAAGATATTACACAAGGAATCCTTCTAACTAGTCCTTGTCGATGGCCTTCCAGAAACTCATCTCTCACTAATCAATTTATACACAACAAGCAATCAAATAGTTTTGATTTGCTAACACATTCATGGTTTCTAATAGTTTTTTTTTTCTTGTATAAAACAATTAGATGCTTTATTTCAATACATCATAAAGTTAATTTTCGTTTTTAAAACATACAAAAACCATGTGTAATATTTTTGGTTGGTAAAACACTAATTGGCATAGTAGCATTTTTGCTCAAATTTTGTTCATAAGGTTGTATTAGAAAAAAACTACTTTAAAACATGAAAGATTAGATATGAAAAGCAAAAATTGGAGGCATGTTTGAGTGTGAAGTGTGGTGGTGTTTGATTGGTGAGTGATTTGGTGGTTTGATCAGCTCATTTTTTATAGTCGAGAAAGGTTTCAAAACGAAAGTTTTTATTAGGCAAAGAAATTGAATTGAATATAAAGAGAGATGGAATTTCAATTCCCATCAAAAACTATGAGATATGTTTTTCTACAATTTTAACTAAGAAATTCCACCAAAAACCATAAAAACACA